AGGGCCCTTGCAGTCGAAGAAGAACGTCATCATCAATTTACCGGAACTTGTGTGTACGGCTTCGGATTTTTTTCGGTGGGGGATAATTCACGTGTTTCCACTGTTGGCTCTGCCGTTTGCTCTCGGGTTCAAAATGGTGGCACCAAGTTTCGTCCCCAGTGGCAATATGGGACAGAAAAATATACTCTTCCTCATGGTATCGTTGTAAGTGACCCAGTGATGCAGCCATTCTCTGAGTCTTCTGTTCCTCCGTGAGTTGATGTGGAACCCACTGCGCGCAGATTTTGCGGTACAGCAGGTGTTTTGTCAGTGTGGCGTGTACGGAACCGTGACTTATTCCCATCAAAAGACTAATTTCTCCCACAGTTATCTTTCGGTTTGCCCGGATATGATCATCCAACGCAGCAATAACATCAGGAGTGATGATACGATTAGCCTGTCCTGGGCGAGCATCATCTTGCAGTGACATACATCCCTCTCGGAATCTCTTTTGCCACGCCAGGACACGCGAACGTGACATGCTGCGTTCGCCGTAAACAACAGACATGTGACGATGAATTTCTTGTCCTACTCCTTCAGCAGTCAAAAAGCGCTCTACACTTCGCTGTTCTTCTTTACCCGCCTCCATTACTGATGTTGGAAGACCACACGTAGCGCTAACCTTACTTCCAGCAAGATAAACAAACGCCTAGTGTGCAAGGGCACGTTGTCACTGTGCTTTTCCGGAGTCCCCACCAGATGTTCGTACCGTAAGCAAATTCCAGTGTTACTAACTTGCGCGCCGTGTATCATGCGTTGTGACCCGTTTTCATTTGACTGCCCCTACATACAAAGAGTGTAACTACAAAATGTTTCCAGACACCTTCTGTTCCATTTACAAGTGTACTTAAAAGTCCTGATGTTCTATTTAAAGTAAAGCAGTTCCTGTAACAGGCCTTGGAGGCATACAGAGCTGTGAGACATCGAGGCTCCCACATTTTCTACACAATCAGCTCACAGATAGCGGCAAGGCTGTCAACCTTACGCGCCGGCTGACGGCCCTTTACCCCCAGAAAGATTCCTGGTACTCATTTCTGTTAGAGGCTGAGTCAACACCAGGGCCATAGTGCAGCTGGAAGGATTACGTAAACTGAAAAATCTACTGACCTCATCAGAAATCGAAATCGCGACCTTCCGGCTTGCAGCATAGTGCCTCAAACAACTACGCTACTGCTTGCCCAAAATGTTCTATTTACGCAGATTAAATCAATCTCTAGAAATGAAATCAGGTGTACACAGATATATCACGTATATTATTTTTTCGTTTGTATTTTCTTAACTGCTTCAGACCAAAATATTTCTGTGTAGCTCCTCCTTGTCATATTTCGTTAATACCAACTAGCAAAAATTATTTTTGTTGCAGTCATCAGTTATGGTAGTACTGAAGATGGATGAAGGTTCCCCCCACTTTACCTACCACTGACATGGGTTGCATCTACTTCTGTCCCCCCACTCTCTACCACCACCAACTTTCAGGACTCAGTCAAATGATATATTATAAAAACTGACTTCATTTATCAAGGAGCCCAACTAGCTTGGTTAGTATTGAGACTAGGGTAAAGGCTGAATGATTTGTAAGCCGGGAAATCTACGACAGTAGATTCTCCTCTCCTACACAGCATTCACACCAGCCCTGAGGACAAAAACAACCACCTAGCCAGTGGGTACTATGGTTAGTTTCTTGGATAAAGTGGATGGGAAACAGAGCTGACCGCTGATATCTATCTAATGCCACAGTATTACACCTCCACTTCCCTATACATCAAAGCTATTTTCATAACATAGTAGGATATCATTTTTCCTTGCATTTCATTAAATATTTACCATATTGAAAATTTTTCATATAAAAGTTGCAGACAATAATTAGATATGTATTTTATGTTATGTCTGAATCTTTTGTACAATAGATCATATGTAAGAAAACTGATAGAGATAAATTTGAACTTGATGTAATAACTTTGTTTATATCTGACCAATAAAAACCAAAACTGACTTCAGTCTCCACCTACTATTATGCAACTCCAATACAAAACTTCAGCAAGATTTGTTCCGTAGTTTCGGAGACAAAACAAGTGCACATACAGGCACAACCTTACCACTACATGCTTTTTGCACTGTGCGCAAGCTATGCATACTAACCCACTAACTTCATGGAGCTCAGCCCTTCTTGAGAAGTCGCCAGTTGTACTCAAGAAGCTCTCAACATTTTATGGAACCTGAAGTTTCATCATGTTCAGAAGAACCCTCCAGTGGTCCGTATCCTGAACCAGATCAATTCAGTCCATACCACCCCACAGCACAAGGTACGCACAGAAAATATATCTTATATTGAATTTTCGTTATCTTATTTATATTTGCATTTTCATGAGATCTGTTGTTGAAAATAAATCACAAACATACTACTCACCAACTAAAGGAACCATGAGTGTATAATAATGCTGCTGTGCAGGCCCAGCTTGAGCTATTATCTGCAACTGACTCAGGTAGTCGATGAAGCAGTTGGTATCGGGAACCAAATTGTGTGGTCTCACTTCAATTTCCACACTCACAACTGAGTCTCGAAGAATGGCCTGTAACAGAGGAACACAGCCCTTGAGATATCACATGCAAAACAGATGAGTACAACTGCAGAAATGGCCTGTAACAGAGGAACACAGCCCTTGAGATATCACATGTAAAACATATGAGTACAACTGCAGAAGGAAGAGAAAATCCTAATTAGTACATGAAAGTAAATTTGTTAACAAAAAAAAAATCAGCCTGAAGTTTTTACAATAGGTAGCCTAAGAGTAGCTTGTGGTCTTCTGGGTTGTGACACCATGTAGTTTCACGGGTAGATGCCATCATTTTGTAACAACCTGCCGCATCCATCTTTGAAGGTGGCAGGTTCCTACCAGATGCTGATAACTACTTACAAGGCTGCATGTTGTCATAGTAAAGGCCACACTCTACAGCCTCATGTTTGGTTAACTTTAAATGTGAGTCTACAGTTTAAGCCTAAACATACAAAATTGGAAGGCTTTATAAATAACTCGGTCCAATTAAAGTTCAACGATGAAAACAAACAAATTATAACAAGTATCAAGAAACAAATCCTCATATGAAAACGCTTCCTGCCAGTGCAACTCTATGAACATCAAATATATTCACCATTTTTTATATCTCTGTTACTCTGATTGCTTAAATTAGAGAAAAAATGTGGCCGACTGGACAAGTGGACTGTTTTCAAAGCCTGGGATAGAGAGAGTCTGATACAAGGCTGGAAGAAACAGTACCCAAAGTTCAGTATGAGCTTCAGGTGAACTAGGGTTTATATTTTACTGACACAGATAGTATGACATTACTGCAGTCTGTACTGCATTAAACATTCACCTTATCAGAAAATGTTTAAAATACGGCTGTATGCCTTCATGAGATCTGTACTTTACAGAATACTGTGTACAATGATCCATTTCCAAGAGAGTCAAAAGAGTCTGATTTGAGATTAGTGCAAAGTAAGTTCATATATGACCGATGTGGAAAGAAACTACACATTTGCCTGATACCTCTCTGTGCTGACCATCAATCCAGTCCAACTCCGGAGATCATGTGGACAGACAAGTATGACTTCCACTTCATGCATTAATTTAATGTATGAATGCCACATGATACTGACAACAGAAGAAGGGTATTCAAAATAGATTCAGTGTATCGATGTCATTGAATTTCTTCAGAAAATATAACTACTCTTATCCATTCAAAAGTGCTCAATGCATGGGAATTCCATCCGTTGAATATAAAAATGAGAGGTTTCAGTTGGCTTTTAGGAAGAAAGAAAAATATGACTGAATCTGATACTTTTCAATGTAAAGAAAAGCGACAGAACTGAATGAATTGTATTAATTAAATAATGTAAAATGGTGGAACTTACTACTGAAAAGTATTTTTATGTACTGCAACTTCTAACACAAAAATAATAATAAATGTGCTTTGTTTAAATCGAATTTGTAACAGTTGGAGGGCTCACCTAGTACAGTGATCATGACATGTGCTGGACGACCGGATAATCAAGGTTCCATTTCTCTTAGCTACCATATCAAAACCATTGTTGTGTGTACCCAACCTCCTATCCAATGGGTACCTGGAACTCTTTCCCTCGAAATAAAACGACTAGGAAATATGATAACCATTCACTTCCAGAGAAACGTTAAAGAACACTGGGACTATACCTCCACTAGGCCAAGGCTCATAGTGGGCTATGGAGTTCATTCTTTGTCCTTTAACCTGTTTTTTTTTTAAATTCGTTTAATGGGGGTGGAGTCCAAATGAGTCCACTCGGGAAGGCGGCCACTGATTGGCATATTATAGCCTGTCCCGGGTGATTATGATGATGAAGAATTTGGTGGAATGAAAATTGGCAGGTGAAGCCGGGAAAACCCGCCCCAGCGCCACTTTGTCCACCACAAATCCTACTTGACCAGACCCGGGATCGAACCCGGGCCGCCGTGGTGGTAAGCCAGCGACTAACCGCTTGAGCTATGGCGCAGCCTTCTTTGTCCTTATGTTATTTAAAGGGCCCTAAACCGATAAAATTATTCAGTATCGATATAAATACCACAGATATCGATTTGGAATTCCATAGCGATTGACGTCCCTGATTTTGTTTACTTTGGGCAAAAGTAAAAAAAAAAAAAAAAAAGAAAGGGTAAAGCTATCCCTGTAACAGGCCGTGGAGGCCCTTAGGTTTGTGAGACGTCGAGGCTCCCTCATTTCCAGACAACCGACTCACAGACGGCGGTAAGGTAAAGGTAAAGCTATCCCCTGTAACAGGCCGTGGAGGCCCTTAGGGTTGTCAGACGTCGAGGCTCCCACATTTCTAGACAACCGGCTCACAGATGGCGGCAAGGTAAACATAAAGCTATCCCCTGTAACAGGCCGTGGAGGCCCTTAGGGTTGTCAGACGTCGAGGCTCCCACATTTCTAGAAAACCGGCTCACAGATGGCGGTAAGGTAAAGGTAAAGCTATCCCCTGTAACAGGACGTGGAGGCCCACAGGGCTGTGAGACGTCGAGGCTCCCACATTTCTAGAAAACCGGCTCACAGATGGCGGTAAGGTAAAGGTAAAGCTATCCCCTGTAACAGGACGTGGAGGCCCACAGGGCTGTGAGACGTCGAGGCTCCCACATTTCTAGAAAACCGGCTCACAGATGGCGGCAAGGTAAAGGTAAAGCTATCCCCTGTAACAGGACGTGGAGGCCCACAGGGCTGTGAGACGTCGAGGCTCCCACATTTTCTACATAATCGGCTCACAGATGGTGGTGAGGATGTTAGCCTTAAGCACCGGCCGCCCTTTACCCCCAGGAAGATTCCTGGTACTGATTTTTGTTAACAGACTGAGTCAACCCCATGGCCATAGGGAGGCTCGAAAGATTAGGTCAATTAAAAAAATCCAATGACCTCATTGGGAATAGAATCCGCGACCTTCCGGCTAGTAGCATCGTGCTTCAACCAACTGCGCTACTGCGTGCCAGTCACTGCGCAAAGTAGGCACATAAATTAAGGTATTCATAAGGTAACTACAGAGCACATCTATTATCTGGAAACAAATTACACGTTTTAACGCTGAAAATCCCCATTATTATCGGACTCCGCCTAAACTGCTCACTTTTTTCTGAACACGCCGTGTAAATGAAGTTCGTTCGAACGAGACGGTGAGACTAATATGGCAATGTCCGCCAACGTTTCATGACTCGTCACCCTTGGTTGAATGTGTCCATGGGTGCAGACACCGTCTGGTGACCCAGACGGGCTATCAGGCAGTGTGAGTGATGGACCTCACCCACACTGTAGTTCAGCTGCGAAAACACAAGAGCAGCATGATGGCTCTTGGCCAAGTTGCACATCCGCAGCATACGAAATGCCTTATTCTCACGCCAGTTACAACCAACCCACAAACGGACTTCGACCACAAAACAACGCAACACAAACCAACTGTTCACTGATTACACCTTGGAATTTGGGTAACCCAAACTGATGGATTACACTTGGAGAGATTCAGCGACTATTCGTTATTCCGTGAAAACAGAATTACTTACAAAGTCAAGGGACTATTCCTAAATCGTTCGAGGATGTTACGGGTGAACAGTTCTTGGATGTGTGCAGAGGTAAACGAGAAGTGGATAGGTAATGTTCACGCTATCTCGCTAAAACACCAAAATAAATGTTGTGGCATGCAGCCAAGAAGCATCAGCATAGAAGCAATCACTACCAGAATGCCGATCAAAAAAACAATTTCAATATCTAGTTACACATGAATGTGGGAAATACACACACGCGGCACATCTTCAAGCATCTGAGTGCTAACCAGACCCATGGAACAGAGTAAGATACTCAAGAAATTAACTACTGGGTTCATTAATGTGTTCACAAAAGCCCGCAATTGAACCCTAAGTTGAGTCACCAGAATCCAGTCCACATCCTCACATTACATTTACGAAAAAAAGCTTAAACTCTGACCCATGAAGTTCACTATAATATTTACCAAGTTCGCTTCATACCTCACAGAAACCACAATGAGTCTCCATTAGAAACATGAACTAATATAGACAAAATAAAGGATGCCCGGACACCGGATGAGGTTCTTCGGCGGTTTTCAGCAGCTACTTCAGACAAATGTCGGTACCTTAAATTACGTCACGACCGCTTCCTTCCACAATATTTCCAATTCATTATTCAATAAACATTATACCATTCGACACCATATATCTGAGCTACTGATCACATCGTTAAGAATGTATTTGCGGAAAATTAGTCTCGAGACCCGAGAAAGTTTTTCAGAACTAAAAAAAAAAAGGTAAAAGTAAAGCTATACCTGTAACAAGCCGCGGAGGCCAATAGAGTTGTGGGACGTAGAGGCTTCCGCATTATCTAGATACTAGGCTCACAAACGGTGGTGGGGTTGTAAGATTTCTGGAACTCATATCTGTTAGAGGCTGAGTCGACCCCAGGGCTATAGTGCGGCTGGAAGGGTTAGGTACGCGTGCCCACTGAAAGAGCTGATGGCTGCACTTGGCAATCTCTGTCCTTGAAGTTCCTTCCCGTTGTCTATTCCTTGAGGTTTATAGTCTAGTAATTTCCACGAATTCGTTCTGTTGTCATTCTTGTCACATTTTCTATGTATTTTCATTGTCATTCTTTATTTTGTGTTTTTTATGCGTTCTAAATTTCATTTTCCATCAAGTCTGCATTACGTCTTAAAACAACCATTTTGTATTATACCTGCATTTGGTATGGGAATCTAACGGAAATTATGATTTGACTTTGAACTTTGGGTCTATCAAAAGACAATCAGAATTCGCTGCGTGTTGTTACAGGCAGAACTACATGTCCTTCGTAAACCTATGCTCAACATTTATTTCTAATTATTCCGTAAAGAAAAAAACAAGGCGGTCTGTTGAATTTAAGCTTCTCACAGCGGTGACTACATGCAGAGTATTCTTCTGTAATGTAACGCCATGTAAACCGGTAGGAGAGCTATTTTGGGGGAGGGCTTATTCTTCAACTCTGAAGATGGAGGCAATATGTTCCTTCA